GTTACCAAAAGTCCTGAGTTCAATTCTCGATCGAAACATACATTTTGTTTGCACGTGTTGGTCTATCAAATTATGTCTCTTCTCAGCCGTGTAAAAAATTCATCTTCTAGTTTCATCTAAAAGTTCTATTTCAAAATTCACTTGTTTTCTTATTTGATGTTCGCGTGGACAAAATAACATCATCTACGGAGATGTGCTGCAGTTTCCTGTAACGTTGGAAGGAAACGATAATATCGGTAATTGAATTATTGAATCACCTTTATTTTGTGAACGTCCTCACCTGTTATTCATAATAAATAGAGGAGCTAAATTTTATAGTGACAAAAGATGCTATATAGTAGTCTGCAGAATTTTTTTCTCTCACTACGGTCCCTCACGGATGGGCGCAATGATCAAAAGGCGTGGTAATTTTTATTTTCAAGGAGTTTCAATTTGGGACTGCTTTGACCAGTTTTTTTTACGTAGAGTTCCTACATCAATAAACAACATTCATGGGTAACAGAAATGCTCGTCAGCAAGGAGCGCCAGGATTAGACTATTATGGACAAGGATACGATAGTTATCCCTATGAACCAATGATGGAAAATTATGGTGCCGGATATGAACCCTATGCAGAGTATCCGTCGGGGTACGAACTGACGGAGCCAGCTATTAATAATCGAGGAGGAGAATACATGCCAACTATATATTCACGCGGTATACTTCCTCCTCAGAACCTGGGTGCTTACGGAGGATTGGGAAATACCTTTGGACTATCACCACTTGGAGCATCTGCATTGGGTGGTTTGAACGGTTATGGTTCTCGATATCCGTATGGATTTAATCCGATGATTCATCAACAAGGCACAATGGGACCAAAAATACGTAAGATTTTTGTACCTAACCACGTGTTTCCACAATTTCAACAGATGCTTCAAGGTGGCGGAATGGGAATGAATCCAATGATGAACATGGGTCAAGGGTATGGCTGCGGTGGAAGTCCAATGATGCAGAGTCCGATGGGAATACCCCAGGGGTGCGGTCTGGGAATGCAACAACCAATGATGCCAATGAGCGGCGGTTCTTTGCCGCCCAACTGTTGTGCCATGTCAATTCCAATATCAGGTGCTATACCATCAGCCTCTATGGGATCGTCTTGTTGTCCACAACCAATCATGCAACAAATGCCGTGTGGTCCTGTAATGCAGCCACAAATTCAAATGCCCTGTGCCCCTCCCATGCCTATGATGCAAGCTCAAATTCCGTGTCCACCACCTATTATGCCACAAATGCCATGTCTTCCTCAGATGATGCCACAAATGCCATGTCCACCACCCATTATGCCACAAATGCCATGTCTTCCTCAGATGATGCCACAAATGCCAGAAAAGCCACCGAGTCAGCACCAGATGCCATTACTTCCAGCGGGGCAGCCCCTAATGC